GCAGCGATGGGCGCGGCGTCTTCTTAACTCGTATTAACCTGTAGATTGGAGCACCGAACTTCATGTATTATAGACCCCCGTCATTGTAGACATTCATAAATCGGTTCTGAATTGCCTGTTGTCGCCATCTACTACCTGTAACCATCGTCATTTGCGGGCGCGACGTCGCATGCGACGCCCACAGCGCGGCGAATTACGATTCTCTTGTCCATACCCGAAATATCCGGCGATCATGTTTATGCAAGCTTTATCAAGATAAATGCACCAACCTCGTAATTATACCTTGTCCAAGCCATGCCTCTAGTAGACTATAAGCGTAGCCTTTGCTCAGATGCTTGCTGGAAGTGAGGATTTTCTCGGCCAGACGTGCTGAATACAACATCACCACAGGTACAGGTCCTAGCCAGAAAAGAACCATTCGCGGTGAATCAGGATACATATAGGCCATGCCCATAACCTTAACCACAATTAATACTACACGAAAATTTTTGAAAAAAGTACCAAAGCCGATAAACCTACCTGGTTGATAAACCCTTCCATATCTGGTTTCATAATCAATCCATGCCCAATCAAAGGATATGAACGTGGGCAATTGATTCCCTAAAAACCTATCCTGAGAACGATGTTCTCGAAACGTACCAACGAGGCGTACACATCAGGCCACGTTCATACATCACAACTCGGGCTATTCAGTCGCGCGACTGCGCTCACCGCGCTCCACCGCTAGTCGTTGGACCGCTGGATTGAACTGGCAATCGCAACAGTCCAACAGTTTGCGGTGGAGAGCGACCAGTAAAAGCGCGCGACTGGAGCGCTGACTCGAGTATGAACGCAGTCTTACATATGAGAAAGTATAAACGGTGTCAATTACGACCTCTTTCGAGGGCAAAACATATGTATATTAAGCAGGCGGTTGCGAAGCGGTCAGCAAACCGTTAGCATATTAGAACGATCCGCTATTGCGGACGCGACAGAGCACTGGCAACAGTCAAACATCAGGCTCAAATACGCGCCAACAGCGCATCAACTCTCGTCTCGCGACTGCGCGCTTGACTCTCATTTGTTTCGACCACGATTTATTCTAATCAGTAAATTTCAGGGAAGAATCCTTTGAATTGACTTTTCCACAGGAAAAGACTTACCTTCAGTCGTTCTCTTAATTTCATATGTTTAGCGATGAAGTAGACAATGGAGGTGATAGTACATACCAGAATGAAGGAGGATATCAGTCCCATAGCTGGAATGCGTGAAGGATTTTTTATCTAAGAAGAATTCTTATTATGAGTGGTGACCGAAAACATTTGGGAGGAGGGAAGCACGAATAGAAACAAAAATATTTGAAAAAGCAACATGAGACAACAACATGGCACTTTAATATTGAGAAAATCAATACAGAAATGGAACCGATGGTCAGTGGAAGGCAAGTGCCATCACAATAATGACAAATTGGCGCGGGAATATGGAAGTCGCAGATCAACGAGCTCAAGAATCTCCTCTATGAGTTCATCAACCGTCTTAATACCCTTTCTTTGACTGTCAGACTGAACTTCATGGTAAACGAATGGTAAACAAAACAAGTATGGAGGGAATCAGGCTGAGCGGACACAAGTTGAGTACTACCACTTTTGGGAGATCTTTTGTGATCTATGCGTGGGATTGAACATTTTATGTCACTGGCTTCAAACTTTATTCTTACAGCTCTTGAGCGCGCCATATGTTGTCACTCTTGCGCTGCGCTTGGCTCTGCACAGCTGTGGTCAGCGCAGTGAGAGTGCGTTCATACTTCGCGGCTGGACGCTCGGATAAGCGCGCGTTTAGAGGATTGCAATAGGGCGCCGTTGCCGTAGTCCACCGATCAGGCTGCGTTCATACTTCGTGACTTTGGGAGAATCGAAGAACGTGCGAATAGGAGTAATGTGCACCAAGGGGAATAGATCGACTCCCATTATCCGGATCTCCTTTTATTACATAGGTACATGAATCGTTAGACTCGAACCCTAAATCTTTTTGCGATTGGAGCGACTGAAGTCAAT